CCTCTCTGCACCTAGAACAGTAGAAGTAAAGTGGGTAGTGGCAAATTGTTGGGGCAACTTGACAAAATGCTGGCAAGTAACCTGCAGTGGACTAGCATCCCATCAAGGGGGAGTCGTAATACTCATAGCAACTTCATACCAAGAATCCAGAGTTAAATATCAAGAGCTGTGAGCTGGTTGGGTTGAAGAGGCCTTACTCTATGAGTCAGTGATGATTCACATATTCCAAGAATTATTTTGAAACAGAAGCAAACAAACAGAACATTGTATGTACACAACACTGAGTGTTGTGTTCATTTTGCGGCCTGATGACTTACTGGATGAGATACTTGATCTCCTCGGGTTTATTGCCAGAGTTCCAATTTGTTGAGGGAGAGAAGCAGTGTGAGAGTAAAGCAATTGACAGCTTGGAACCCTGGCAAAGCAGGGCCAGAGTCCAGTGCACTAACTGTTTGCCTACTGCCTCTCTCAACTGGCAGATCTTACATAGTCACTGAAATAATTCTAAAATTGTGAAAAAACCCCTGATATTTTGACAGTTTGGTTCCAGGTTTTTTAACCTCTCGCTTTGGACTCAGCAATTTTTTCTCTCCAAAACCATGTATAAATTTTTCCGCTGGACTGCATACCAAATTAATGCATTGTTGCTATGAGTTCCCATTAGATAATAAATCCAGGCTTCACGAACTGATACTGTTGTCTCTCTGTTTTGATTGGCAGCTCAACGACAACAGTGAGGCACTTGCGCACCAGAGACTAGCCACAAAGATGTTAGCAGCAAAAATGAAAGAGATGGAGAAACGTGGCAATGCTGGAGACTCACAAACTGTATAGCAATGCCATAGGCGTTAAAGTAATTCACACTCAGTTAAAAATTTACAATAATCTTTCCATATATGAAGTCGTAATTTATTTATTGATCACGAGGCTCTTTCTTCATTTTTAATCGATCCCAGTTGTAAACAAATAATCCCCAAAATTATTCGCAGTACCTTGCACTGGAGACTTAAAGTAATGACTACTTAATTACTTTATTGCAAAAAGGAAAATTATTTTTATCGCAAAAAGAGGTGAAATTAAAAAAAGAGACTTCATTCACTTTAAGTATGTTTAAACTTAGCTTAATGTGTAAATTATATCCAGAGATATTCAATGTAAAAATGGGTTGAAAATAGGCCAACAAAATTAGTATTTTGAAGAGGTATTTTTTTGGTAGTAAGTATTTATTTTTCATGTTGTGAGTATTTGAAAAACTGAACTAAGTCAAGGTGTATTCATGATTCACCTTACTTTGTTACAGTTTGCCCTAGGGTTCCAGAGAGAGATTTTATTTTTCTGTAGACTATGACAAGTTTAAATGTTGAAAAGTTTCAATTCTTTTTCTACAAAAAATGCGATGTTATTTATTTCCTATATTTGCAGATTTAAAGATTTTATTTTTCGACTGGTGTATTTAGTTTATTGAATAATACCAAGAGAAGACGAACGGTAAGAATGTTAATCCGCCTTAAGGGTTTTTTTCTAAAGGTAATCCCTCTCTTGAGCTATTTTTAGACATGGTACCCAGTTCTCTCTCCTACGTGGATGTTTTCATGGAGGACGAGAATGCTTGTGAAGTAGTTTGGGCTGTCCACTTGAACAAAATTCTTGTCACAGGATTTGCAATTTCACGACCTACCCGGAATTTCCAAAGCTGGGAGTGGTTTAAAATAGCTTTAGAGGAACAAGGCCTATATGAGGTTTTAACTTCCTTATCCTTCATATTCCCTTGATAATACAGGTAACAAAAATAAACATCCAACCATGTATTTAATTTTTTAGTAATTAACCATCTAATTTATTTATGTCATGTCGGAGTGTGTGGTGAGAAGAATTGTGTATTTACAATGTTACAATAAAACGTAATTTAAGGTTATTCCCCAGTATTGCATCGCGCATCCCTACTGCGCAAAATTTCACGCGTGATTGGCGCGCGCGCATTAAAAAATGGCGCCTTTTCTTTACAGCTGGACCTCGCCATACAGGTAAATCGTCATTTTCTCGCAAACGAATATGGTGACCTATCATTTTTTTTCCGTTGTTTTGAATTGAGTAATAAATTTCTCTGTGTAAAATAAATATGGACCAATTCTCAGTGTAGAACAAAAAGCAATCGTCGGAAACGTAAAATTTAGCAAGCAATCGTGACTACAATCATGGTGCTATTATAAGGATTTATAAATGTATAAACAAGCTGCTGTTGCTCCTAAACGAACATGGGGACCCCTCAGTTTTATTTCAAAATTTAAGTTCCTATAATATAAACAATCAGTAGGCAAAGTTTCACAAAAATCTCAGTGCAGATTCTTTTTCAGGGGAATGACCTTAACTGTTAAAAATGTCATCGATAAATCTTCACCAGATAAATGTTTTTTGAAGGGACGTGTCTAGAAGACAAATGGCGCAATGTCGCTCAGGTTAGCCTAAATATCACTGACTCGAAGGTGGTTAGCTCTCCATAATTGTATGGGTTAACCGTATCCCGCATTGTTAAGTGCTATTTCGACATTTTGCCATTTCGCGTTGTAAACACCCCCTTTTTGAAGGGGTTTTGACCAGCGCCATTCAGGTCCCCATCTCTAAAAGGTGCTGTAGTTGTTCACGTCAAAGATCATTCGGATAAGGTTACTTCAGTAGGCAGTGACTTGTTTGCCCGAGCATTAACAAAATGGTGGCAAGCTTCTACATCTTCGTTATGGGATGTACTCAGCTTTGTCGTTCGGCGCAGTTGGGTTTCGTTGGCGAAAGGGCCCAGAGCGCGCGGTGCTTCATGGTAAGGTTGCGAAACGCAGACCCATTACTCTGCGCGTACCCTGCTCAAACAAAGGAGAGACGCCTGGTGACCAGGCAAGAGCGGTCCACAGTTCTTTGTTATACTACTAGTCCCTCGGCGGGGATTGTTGCCTGACTTCGGCCCGAGTGGCCCTGAAGAAGACTATTATTATACATGCGAGGGGCGTATTCTTTAATTCTTTGTCAACTCCTATCCTTTCCTGAATCATTCTTTCCTTTCTTCCTTCGTTCATCAGTTTCTCATTCATTCATCATTTTTCAGGATTTAATATTCACCACCATTTTTTCTTTGTTTATTACGTTTGTTTATTTAATCCAAGGGATAAGGGAAAAAGAAGAGAGAAGACTTTCTGATTACGTAAAATGCTTTATTCGTTCATAACTGCTTCCGTGAAATACATCAATTAAATTAATAACACCGGTACCTAAAAGGAATTTTGTGCCACAAAGTTTCAAAGTAACCCGTAGATTTTCTATTAAAGGCAGCGTCATATCAACCGACCAACACAACCATTGTCTCTAGACGGTCGCTACCATGACCATGCTGCTAGCTGGTGAGGGTGCTACGCTGGACGACGGAGCTACAGACTGAGAAACTATGTTTGTTGGACTCACGGACATCACAGGCGTAGAGGGAGCTACACTGACTACTGGTGTAGAGGTCGACATCATAGCTACAACTGTTGAAGTTGGCGGCTTGAAAACCTTTCCTGTTGAAACATGAGCACATAAGACGATAAATGCAAAGGTCGCACAACAAACACAGTGGGAGCCATAGTCCATCGTTTTCGTCCCAGTTAATTTGGTGGTGCGCATGCGTATAGATTCTGGCTAAAACGACTGAAATTAATGAAGTGTACCATGGTTAAAAGTAAAAGCTTTCTTTCAAAGTTGTTGTTTCAAACCAGTTACAAAGTTCTAACAAAGAGAAAAACGAGGCCAATATTCAGTCGTCTTGACCAAACATGCTAGGTCAATAAAGGATTATTGTTATTTGGCATGAAGAACACTATTTCCTTGCGGGACATAGCGGGTAGCGGGTAGCCAATCCCAAGCTGGAAAGATTGTGCCATCTTGCTGCTCGGGTAGCCAATCACAGTGCAGGATTGGTTCATCTTGCCAACCTGCGATGCCAGCCATATAATAAAGTGCTTCACTGATATCAAGGAAAAGCGAAATCGGTAGATTTCTGCCTGCAATGATTGTATGCATCTCCGAGGACATTTCTTGTGGACTGTATAATATTATTTAAAAGATCTGGCCGCTGTATTAGCTGCCGCCGGTAACTGGTTCTCTTACTCTCATTAATAGGTTTTTTAGGTAACCAGTTTCTACTTACCGAAGCAACACACTTGATATCTCTGGCATAATCGGTTGTTCAGGCAATCCACTTTTTTCAGCTTTAGACAAGTAAGGCGGCCAATGCGTGTCCATTTATAATATTCTAAATAAATACAAAGATAAATGAACCTTAGAATTTTTTTCTAAGTAGCACAAATTCAGTTTTTATGGTAGGTGACAAGAGTATTCTAATAAAACCCAGCCGTTTGCAAGGTTGACCTTAAAAATAACTGAATGAGTTAGTTGTATTACTTCAATGGAGGGAAGCCTTACAGGAGCGAAAAGGTTTTGATGTTCCTGCGATTTTCAACTTCAGTTGTAAACCCTTTCAGCTACTAGAGTTTTTCCCGGTAGAATGGAATGCACCTTTTCCCGTATTAAATCTCTTGAGATTTCCTGCCATAAAGGTAACTATTGCAGTTGAGGCTTTATAGATTGCAAAAGAGCTTCTCTAACCATCATAAAGATAATCCACTTACTGCAGCGACGGTAGGTGAAAGCGCGATAGCGCGAAGAAAAATATGAACTACGCCTCTTCTCCCTGATTTTGAGACCTAGAAAATACAAAAAAAATAAAGTGGTGAAAGGCAAGCTCGTTTGTATTGCAGGCAAAAGTAATTACGTGATTCTCTCACTCTACGTCGCGTGTTTCAATCATGTATAGAGGCCATAGTAATGGACTATTTCATTACGGAACACTAACACAAAGTTATCCAACTTATGAATCCACTCTGGGCAAGGGTTCTTGGGTTCCTTTGATGCACCATGAGAAGAGTGATCTTGGATCATTGACCTTGATCTGGATCATTCCAAAGGAATGCACCCTGAGATTTTCTTGATTAAAGAAGAAGCTTTTTACAAAACCCTGCAGAGGTCATGGGTGGGAATTCCGTTCTAGCCTAATGCTTTTCTCGGGCGTTATTTCCTCAACTGCTACGTTGTGTAAATGACTGCGCGCGGTGATTATTCATGCCTCCAAACCCATATTATATTACATATATTTTTGACCTCGAACTGATATTTCATGGTATTAACCCATCGGCACGCTTTGCGCATCTTCAAAAATTTAGTCTAAATTTTGCTAGTGAGTCAATCTGTGTTGATTTTCCCAAACTTAACCATCCTTGTTCCTTTATTGTTTACTATTCTCTCTCTGGTATTTTACTATCTTGGTAAACTACATGTACTATTTTCAGGTTTTCTTCGATTCAAAGGTGATTTTGTACATGGCCAAAATACCGTGATTGAGCTACTTAACCAACGAGTCGATGGTCATTGCATGTCCAGTATCTCTGATTGATTAACTAAGTGAGGCGAAGAGTGGCTAATAACGCGAATTTCCGCCGGCAATGAAACTCCGCGTTTGCAGTTATCATGATTAAACATACTTTCAAAGTCCATGTCTGACTCAGCTCTCGCGTCAGTGTTTTCTTCGCTTTTTGCCTGGAGTATAACGCAAGTAAAGCATACCAATACCTGCAAAACAGAAGGAGCAGAAACCACAAATAAGACGGACAACAAAGAAACATTGTGTGGAACTGCCCGTGAAACTCCTGTGGGCGTATGACGTACAAATCATACAAAAAGTCTCAAGATTGCGATTTTTCCTGACTCATTTTCCACGGAAAAAGTTACAAGGGCAAATATTTTCTAGCCAATAAAATATTGTAAAAAGAATGTTCCACATTATAACGAAAACATTCTTGTATACATCTTATTTAGCAAGATCCACTTCAGTTACAATATGAATAGCAAAAATACTTTTTTATCGAATAACGAATGCAAAGCTAAGTTTGAATTAAAAAATTCAAACAGAAAACCTGAATATGTTATTCTCCTTCTTTAATTTACATCCTTTTTCTCAGTAATTGGCTCATGATTTAACTGTAAGAGTTAGCGATAAGTTCCTACCCAACGGTCGTTAACGTATTAGAGAAATAAAACGTTTAATTTCATTCAGTATTCAGATCAATTGGACACTTGCCCTTTTTTACAGGGATTTTTTATCGTATTTACGTGCTTGAAATAACTATTTAATCATGGCATAAAAAAAATCAGATAAGCATTTCACAAACAAAATTAAACTAAACTTTAGAAACGAAATTTAAACCTCGCAGTGTTTATGTTTAGAACTGATGTACCTCTCAGTTTTATGTATACTGGTGTCATCTCTTCGATCCTGGTTTAAGTTTTGTAAAAAAAAAACCGAAAGGTTTGAATTAAGGTGAACTAAACATAACGCTTTTTGCACGACGTTATATGAAAAATCGTGAAAACTTATTAATTTTGGACAAAGCATTTTCTTAAAATAGTTAATCACTTAAATTTTTCATTTCCTCTGGAAGTTAAGGAATACTATTCAGGAAAACTTCTTTTAAAAATGGAAACTATAACAAAACAAAATACTCCAAACATCGAAGTATTTGCACTCACCAGAAAAAACAACCGATAAGCATCCATGGTTAAGCAGGTTGTTAGTTCGTTGCTGTGAAATCTCTAGTTATATTGATGTCCTTCAGCTCTTATCGGTTATCGAAAAACTGTAATAATTTGAGCGCTTTTATAGTTGAGAAATAAACCACTTTGTATGCGATGATTCATCAATATCGTTGTTGTCTCATTTATAACACTTAATCCTCGGCTTGTTTGATTTAAACGAAAAGTCCTTTGAGTTCTAGAGTATGCCAATCACATCTTGAAGTACTTACAAACATGCGCCAGTATATATGTTGGCTTTCAATCCGGCTGTAATCTAAGTATAGCAACAAATAGTTTTTATACTGTTTGTTCGCATGTTGTGCTGGTGCCATGGAAACTCAACTTGATACAACTGAGAAGAAACTAGATTTGTGAAAGTGCAAGATTATTTCCATTTTTTATTTTACTTGTGCATATGACAGGAACTCATATGTTATGCCGGCAGCCATGAAAGAAAGCTAGAGGCTGCAAATAAAAAATAAATTAGTCCATTTGGAAAAGGCAACGCACAAGATGTTTTCAGTATTGCAGAACTTGAAAATTCCGCTTTAACCATTCGTCATTGAATGTGCATACTTTCAACGTTACGCAGTTTTTTTCATTTGCATTTTCACCGCCCTCCCCTCACCCCACCCGAGCCCGAAAGTGCCCGCACGCCTATGAATTGTCACGTTTTGCTGGTGTTGTACTTGAACAGGTCCCTTGTTATTTTTAAGTTACCTCCGAAAAGCATTTTTTTCTTTCTGTAGCTAACATAAAGGTTAATTAGTCATGACTTATCACTAGAGATTAGAACGATTAGACACTCAGTTGCTTTTGAACTGAAATTGATAAGGTTAATTGCATTGTAACTTCCATCACCAAACATTCCAACGCGGTTAATGTTCTTTTTCATCCAAAACTCTCAAATTATAAAGCTAGAGATTTCTGTTTATAGAAGTTATTTTATGGTTTATTTGAATGTCATACCTAAGATTAAAAAACCTTTCGCGTTTTTCGATTTTCTTTTTGTCTCGGAAAAAGCAAGACTAAAATATTGCAAATATGTTGAGAAATATGTTGATCTTATAATTGAACGTAATCGTCCGTGTCGCGTGGCAAAGAGGGAGTTAACTCTCACAAGTGCACCGATTTATCACCATGACTACACATATACAACCACAATACAGCGAGCACGTTTCAAAATATCAGCGCAGGTTGGCCCGCCTGACAAGGTGTGATAAGTGCTTTAACGATTTTTATGACCTGCGCACTTTGCAAGGCTTTGTCGACGGCTCTTTTCAGTCTCAGAAACTTGTATACTTGAAGACATGCATGAAAAACGGTCTCGTTACTAAGGTTTTAGCAGAAGTAGTGCGATTGTCAAAGTGCGTTAATATGGCCTTAACGGTACAAATGAATACTGGCTGTGCTGTGGTTTCCCAAACCAAGAAGCAAAAAAGCAATATCTTAAATAATTTCCTGGTTGTCTTTTGTCCCTTTGCTGGAAATTCTGCTTGCTTTTATATTATTCATGTATTTCATGGCTGCTGCATATCGAATCAGGAATTTAAAAAATATATTTCACTAAATTGTGGATATTTCTCGCGAATAACAAATGGAATCTGTGACGCTTTTCCTGACTTATGGATTGACGTACTCTACGAGCGAGGAAATCTTGATTTTGTCTTTTTCATGTTGTTTTCTGAATAAACAACTGCAGAATCATGGATATCAATAAGTAGTTCTCTTTTGTAAAGAAATTAAATAGACTAGCACCCACAGCTATATATATATAGAACTGAAGGATTTTTGTCCATCGGTATTACAATCATTACACCGCACAAATAGATATACATAAAATCGATTTGGGAGATCAAGTAATCGACCGGAAGTGGGCGGCCAGCAGCTACAGTAGCTAGCGCACATTACTTGAAACACGTAAAAGTAGCTAAAAGTATGACATTGCTTCTCCTCTACACGTTTTCATTCTTATGAGTGGCGCGGACTAGCGCTGGCGGACTGGAGGTCGTTTCAAAGCTGAAGACAAGGTTCACTTGGACTTGCCTCTCTAAAGATAAGCAAAAAGAGCCATTCTGACTGGTTCTCCGAGCGGCCGAATTTCGTTCACTACGAACTGCTAACGCTAAAATATGCAAATATTTTCCGGCGGTCAAACGTATCCGGACACATTTTTTTATCGGTAAAGCCAGAATAAAAACGTTATTGATCTATCATGTTAAACGTTAGACCCGTGTTAAGAAATACTCGTGGTTTGCTTCGTAATTTTATGGACCGCCTGAACAGTATTTCCAGTCCCTAATATAGACCTCACTCGTGCAATACGCACAAGCAGCATTCTTTGGCTTTGCGATCGCTCCACCAAGTACCTTATTTGGGCTTGACCTGTTTGCCTCGTTTAATATCACGTAAACAGCTGCGCGCTTATAATTACGGACCTATTATGTAACAGCACGAAGTTATGCGTTTACGTTAACAAAAGACAAAAATGAGGGCTTCTGTGGAGAGCGGGTAGGTCTTTCCCGGTTTGCTAAAATAAAATTCAAAAGTTGCTAAATTAGCCATACGGGAAAGGCAAGAAACGGATAGCTCTCCTGTCTTTAATCCCCTCTCTCAGCGTTTCGTGCAACCCTATTTCCGGTCGCGTTCTGTCGTTCTAGCCCTACCGGAACACCCTAATTCACGCTAACGGTGTTCCTGTATGTCTCATTATAGAAAATAAGTGTTTAATAAGGTAGAAAGGAAGCCCTGTCTACAAATCTGGACGTTGGAACATGCGATTGACTCTATTTAGTTTTAAGGAACATTTATTTCTAGTGACATAGAGGTGATCTTAAGCCCCGGCCAAATGATCGTAACATTTGAACGCAACATATCGCAATATTGCTGGGCGCAACATGGTGCCCGCGTTTGACCACCTTTTTGGGACGTTTTGCAACATGTTGGGTGTTGCTGGCTCAAGTCTGAAAATGTAGAGGTCACGAGGTGGCCTAGCAAACGAGCGCAACATTTTGCGCCCAACAATGTTGAGTTGAACCGGTTGCGATCGTTTGGCCGGGGTTTTATATTTGTTTTACGGTATACATGCAATCATGCCATGCAATCATGCCATGCAATCATGTTTGAATGGCTTCGAATAGTTTTTGTCCATTCGTCCTGACCTGTTTTGCTTTGTTTTCTGCTACCTCGATTATATAACGTATTTTTAAAGCAGAAAATGACATAGAATAGTTAGCCTCCTACGCGGAAGCTCTTTGACGAGACCAAAGAACGTGTGCGTGGGAGGCCACAGAATAGTGGACCAATGCCTGTTCCAAAACAAATATGACTGCACGAAATCTCTCACCCGATCAATCTTATTGAAGGAAGAAAGAATGTAATATGGCTAGGATCATGTTTTGTCTGCAGCTATGTCAAAATGTTGCCATGTATCGCCATTGTTCCGGGAAATTCAATATCATCTGAGGAAGTACTTCTGGCACTAATCCCATGCAATTTTTACTCTTTCCTGATGACAAAAAAATGGGTGTAGAACAGAACTGAAGTGATCTAGCAGCGGACAGACTGAAATCTCTTTAACCTCTAGGACGTAGACCTTATTTAACTTCTGATGCTTGCACTCATCATGAGAGAGGTATCAGTGGCGTATCCAGTATCGACTGTTTTCACTTGAAAAGTAATTTGAGGATTTTGAATTTCATTCCTGTAGTATTTATTGCTGTAGAGTGAAGGCTTCATTTAAACCCCTGTCTTATACGGCTGATTAAAACTGATGTCCATATCCCTCTTCTTTTGATCGCTTTCGACAGAACGCAGTTCTAATCGGGTAATGCGGAAAACATCGAGTTTTTGTTTAAGTATCTTTCTATGGACACCAACATGTCCTTCGTCTCATTGTTTCGGAAGTGAAAATGCCCTGTAGCTGTTCCCCCAAAGCCAAGGCGATTCAAAGTGTGCTCGTCAACAGAATAATTGTCCTAGTTTTGCGGTAACTAAAAAAAAAGCACGTCGTCTCGCATATCGGCGGAACAGGCATCGTTTGTGTCGATTTAAACGGTCAGTATAAAAAATGGACTGCGGACTGCGGACTGCGGACTGCGGACTGCGGACTGCGGACTGCGGACTGCGGACTGCGGACT